CCATCCATCCACCCCTCCCTCCCTCCCTCTCTTTCTCTCTCGCTCCCTCCCTCCACCTACCCACCCATCCTGCATTCAACGATAATCGATCCATTCCTACTGCCATCCCTCCATCCCTCCCAGTGATCCTAATCTTAAACTTCGATTTATCCGCAATGAAATAAAATAATTTTCCCTATTTCATAAACATATTTCTCCCTTACCTAGCGCTGTGGTTTGTCTACTTGTGAGCACTCTTTGAACTGTAAAATACAATTAAAAGTACCTTTAATAGCGAATAAAAGTTGAATTAAAAAAAACAAAACTTATACTTAACCTTGCCAGCTGCCATAACAAAGCTCTAATATATTTACTTTATGTAAAAATTTAAGCATCGAGCCAAAAGCTGATAAGCTTTGGGATACTCCCTTTTCGATTACTTTAGATTATAATAAAAAATATCTTAGAGCGAACGCGCAACCAAGATTTGGCGGCGCGTCCGTCGTATGAGTTTAAACTGATTTTAATGACAAAGCAACTATTTTTGTCATTTAATTTTCAAGTTATCTTCTTCTTTGGCTCATTAACAGCTAGTTCTGGAAAAAGCAAACTGAAACAAAACTATAGCTGTCCAAAAAAGAGCGCTTTTAAGTGAAAAGTTGTCAGCGTGAAGGGCGCCAAAAATTAAACAGCAAGAAACGAATATTGTTGAACTTCATACCTTGGTATTCTTGACCAACAAGACAAAGTATGAAATGTTCCTTGTAATCAGGAACGAAGAATGATAGAAGTTTATGGACGGCGTATAGCAAAAGCGCCTTTTGCCACATTTTGTATGAAGACGTGTTTTTCACTAGACTGTCATTTATCTAATTTTCACTTCTAATGAAATCGAACGTTAATCAACTCATTCCCATTATGACGTCACTGTGCGCGCGACTTCATTAAGCAATCAAGTCCAGGCTCTTGTTATTTCAAAAACATAAAAACTGCTTTATTTTGTCTGATTTAGTTAATTTCTTTGTTTTTCCTTGGATTTTTTTATTGTTTTATATTGATCGAATTATTTTTACAGAAATGGTACGTATAAAAGGGTCATTCAGATTTTGTTCTTGGGCTCCCTGTGTTATCAAAGCCTCGTTCTGATGGTCTCGGTCTTGGAACTGGGAACTAAAGTCACTTCGCACGTTGCGTCGAATTTACGTTCTAGAGATAAAAAGGTTGTGAAAAAAGCTCAGGATTTCGACCATTTTTATCTGGTATGTATAATTTTCATACTAAGACATCAACTTTATTTATATGTGCTTGAATTAGGATAGAAACATTATCATTTCCGTTTCAAAAACGTCAAATTTTTCAGGTCGAAGTCGAGCATTGTGCAGCCAAAATGGCGGCCGTTATGGGACATAATCCTGATCTAATGGACGAGAAGCTACAGGAAAAAGGTTAGTAAACTATCCAAATCAAAAAGAAAAGAACGAAATAAAATTGCTTTGCTTGTAATGGTAATAAGATAAGCCTTTACGTACAGAATTGGTGTAAAAATCATGCTAAATGAAGTCAATGTGTATAATAGTGTTGGGTGACGCTCAAATTATTTAGTAAGCACGTGTGTGATGCTTGTCAAAGCTTCCTATATTCTCTTCTTAACCCTACTATTTTGTATTGAACTGCCTCATTTTATTAAATGGCACGAATAGCTGTTAAACTAATGGTATGATGCGATTATGAAGATGGTATGAGCGGTATTGAACACTGAATATACTGTTGTTATATATGTTGTATTCAGATCTGCTTGATCGTTTAGTCTATGCTTGTCCTAGTATTTAATAAACTCAGTAGAATTTTATTTTATTTATATTGAAGCCTCATCTATGAGGATTTATATTGTAATGTAGGCTGTACAAGTCCTTATTTTTTTCAATTAATTTCTTTAAACTTTGAAAACTTAGAAAAGTTTCAAATTGTTTTAAATTTTAAAAATTTCGTTTAACAGCTCGCAAATGGCAGCAGCTACAGTCCAAGAGATACAGCGAGAAGCGCAAGTTTGGCTTTGTGGAGGCACAGAAAGAAGACATGCCTCCAGAACATGTCAGAAAGATTATCCGTGACCATGGAGATATGTCCAGTAGGAAATATCGCCATGACAAGAGAGTGTACTTGGGGTATGTATTGCGATTATTGTTTGTTTCCAAATCTGATACAGCATCCATTAATGGTTGTTGTTTTTGAACCTCAAATAATTAGCAATAAGTAATAGATCCTTGTAGCACGTTGGAATGCAGCCCAATTGGGAGGGGAAAACGACAGGTTTCCAGTTCCTGGGAATTGAATTTTTTTAGTTTTGTCCTCCCAATTGAGCTTCTTTGTCATCACCACATGCAAGGGGTATATTCAACTCATTTTTGTAAGTGAACTATGTAGTTTCTGAAAGGAATATTAGTTGTTTGGCTGTGTAAACCTGGACTTCATGGGATAAAATTTGAGACAATGACTATGGAATATATAGATTTTCCCTCTGACACTTTCAATGCAGGACACAATTATACATGTCTCATGATAAGCTAATTTGTCTTGTTTTCGTAAGCTATTGAGAGATGCAAGGCTTTGCTTTTAATCCATGGCACATCCTTAGAAGATTAATAACAGCCAAACATATTTTTCCCTGGCCATTGATTTTTATCAGCTTTTTTTCATGTCATCCCATTTCACTAGCAAATTTTAAAATTTAGTATTGAATGTACATATTGCATGTATGCATTTACTATGCCTTTTAAATGTTGCAGAGCTCTGAAGTACATGCCTCATGCAGTCCTGAAATTACTGGAGAACATGCCAATGCCGTGGGAGCAGATTCGTGATGTCAAAGTTCTATACCACATCACTGGAGCCATCACCTTTATAAATGAGATTCCTTGGGTTGTAGAACCAATCTACATGGCTCAGTGGGGGTAAGCTTTAGTTTATTATGGAAATATTTGGCAAGTTGGCTTATTTGGTTCAGCATCAGCCATGAATTTTGTCCATAGAACAAAATTTGTTCTATTTAATACTATTTAATAGTCAGTATTAGAAGCTAAAGATCTGGAAATGGTTAGATCAGGCTCATATTCTTTTCTTTAGCATAATTAGAAATACAAGTTGTCAGTGATCATAGATTGAACATTCGATTCATCTTATTCTCATGTTTCTTATGTCTAATATTAATGTATGACAGAACAATGTGGATTATGATGCGTCGTGAAAAGAGAGATCGTCGTCACTTCAAAAGAATGAGATTCCCTCCCTTTGATGATGAAGAACCACCTCTAGACTATGCGGACAACATCCTTGACGTTGAACCACTGGAACCTATACAACTAGAGCTTGATCCAGGTGAAGATGCTGCTGTCTGTGAATGGTTCTATGATCACAAGCCACTGGCAGAAACAAAGTAAGTCTATTGTAGCTGTGTCTTGTATACAGGTTTGAAAGCTTTTTCTTGCAATGTGTCTTAGATGAGGACACTAGCCCTTGGTTATTGGCTGTTCTAACCACAGGGACAATTAATAACTTAACATTTGAGGTGCTGCCACAAGCAATCTATCAAGTTTTGTTTTACGTGATTTTATTTTAAAATAATAGAGCAAATTGTGTGCACATAATATTTGGTTCAAGTGGATTATTGTAGTGGGAAAGTTTGGTACTTGAATTGTGGAAGAATCAATAACATATCATTATGGTTATCCCTTCATTCAGAAATATTCTAGACATGCTTTTATTTGTTTTTATCTTTAGGTATTTAAATGGAACATCATACCGACGGTGGAATCTCACACTACCTGTCATGGCAACACTCTATCGTCTTGGCAACCAGCTGTTATCTGATCTAGTTGATGAAAACTACTTCTACCTGTTTGATTTGAAAGCCTTCTTCACAGCTAAAGCTTTGAACGTCTGTATACCTGGTGGTCCAAAGTTTGAGCCTCTGGTGAGAGATTTCACCATCCATGAAGAAGACTGGAATGAATTTAATGACATTAACAAGATTATCATTCGACAACCCGTCAGAACAGAATACAGGATTGCATTTCCATATCTTTATAATAGCTTGCCTTTCAAAGTTCAGTTGCCATGGTATGTTGAATATCTACCTATTTTTCTACCTACATTACTGCAATACCGAGATGTCATGAAGCCTTAAAAAATTGACCAGCAAAAAATTGAAAAATTGCTAATATAAAGATATAAAACTTATTATTTGTTGCGTTATTGTTATCAAGTACTTTTTCGCAATGTGTGAATTTTTGTTTATGCCACTGAAAGGAACCAATGTTCTTCAGATTGAGGGCGTTGGCTTGGGATAGTGGCTAGAGTATAAGGAGTAGGTTATCACTGCCGTAGGTTGTTGAATGTAGAGTCATCAATGACTGCTCATCTCTCCTTACAATTATGTTGTAAGGCTGGCTTAGGATAGCAAGCTGTTTTTTAGTTAAAGGAATGCATAGCCTGTTTGGTTGAAACTCTAGTGTTGTTTATAGTAAAAGTATTTGGTTTCAGGTACCATAGGGTTAGTGTTGTGTACATCAAGACAGAGGACCCTGATCTTCCTGCATTCTACTTTGATCCTCTCATCAATCCAATCTCTCACAGACATGCTGTTAAGGTAATAGATTCACTATTCATATGGGTTAGTGCGTAAAGGATGGATTAATGTAGTTATTCCATTATCAAGAATTTTGTCAAATAAAATAAATAATCAATTGACCTATCCAGCATTGGCTTGACTGACCACAAAACAATGGTTTGAAGTCAAGATTGAACTTGGTTCTTTTATTCATCAAGTTCAACCTGGACTTGAAACCATTGTTTCATGACCAGTCAAGCAAATTCAGGATAGGTCTGTTGTAAGTTATTATGATTCTGAGCCTTCAGCACAGGTTTATTTTGGTGGCTAGTTGAGAGAAAATAATCCAGTGTTGGTCATAGTCTCAATGCTACATATTGTGATTTTCCTATTGTGAGGTAGTTCTGAGCCATCAATATAAGTTCATATTGCCAGCCCTCCTTTGATTAAACTGATAGAAGAATCATGATACAAAATCCAATGTTGATTGTTCAATAGGCCCATGAACCTCTTCCTGATGATGATGACAGTTTTGAACTCCCTGACGACATCCAGCCATTCCTACAAGACAGACCATTGTATACTGATAATACTGCTCATGGTATTGCTCTTCTCTGGGCACAAAGACCTTTTAACTTGAGGTCTGGGCGCTGTAGGCGAGCCATGGATGTACCTCTAGTTAAATCATGGTATGATAATCACAGATTTTAGTTCATTATCAAATACCACACTCCTTGGCAGATCACACACGAGAATAGATGGATGTACCTCTAGTTAAATCATGTTATGTGTATGTGAATATTTGTACTGCAATTGTAATGTATCAAAATGAGCTGATCCTCGCAGTATATGAAGCAACTTATGCAGCTGCAAATTTGAAAGACTCTTAAAAAAATCATGGTTTGATATTTCACTGATTTTAGTTTATCATCAAATACCACACTCCTTAGGGGATTACACATGAGAATAGATGGTTAACAGCCATCAGCCCTCACATTACATGCTGTCATATGGTCCTACCCAAGAGGTCATAAAGTATTAATATTTTTTATCTAGGTACAGAGAACATTGCCCATCAGGACATCCAGTCAAAGTGAGAGTGTCTTACCAGAAGCTTTTGAAATGTTACGTCCTAAACGCACTGAAGCACAGACCACCAAAGGCACAGAAGAAAAGGTACGTTCTACACCTAATTGAAAAAATGTTGTCGGGTTCAAAAACAGGTTATATCATCAAAGCTAAGACCGAAGGGGAGCATGGGAAGACAAACAATTATGCTAATTTCATGCATATTGCAGTTTGTGCATATTTTATGTTTCATGGCTTTGGCATGTTGTTAATCTAGGTCGACCGACTTTGCTCTACTGTGCATTTCGTTTGGAGTACCCAAAATCCTTTTTGGTCTTAGCTTCGATAATATGACCTTCTCGAACCCGACTACGTTTTTTTTCAATTAGGTGTATATATTTTGTACATGTGGCCTTTATTCCTTTGAGGTTGAATATGTTTTTAACACAAATTCTTTAATGATTTTTGCAGGTATTTGTTCCGTTCATTCAAAGCCACAAAGTTTTTCCAGTCTACGACTCTAGACTGGGTGGAAGCTGGTCTACAGGTCTGTCGTCAAGGTTACAACATGTTGAACCTCTTAATCCACCGTAAGAACCTCAACTACCTTCATCTGGATTACAACTTCAACTTGAAGCCCATCAAGACCTTGACCACCAAGGAACGTAAGAAGTCTAGGTTTGGTAATGCTTTCCATCTGTGCCGTGAGATTCTCAGGCTCACTAAGCTGATCGTGGACTCTCATGTGCAGTACAGACTTGGTAATGTGGATTGCTATCAGGTAGGGAGGTAACATTCTGTAGTCTGAATACAATTTCTACATACCATACCTTTTTTAATGATCATAGAGTGATATATTGCCATCCTAATGATTCCATTTCTTTCAGCTTGCTGATGGTCTGCAGTACATGTTTTCTCATGTTGGTCAGCTAACAGGCATGTACCGTTACAAGTACAAACTGATGAGACAAATCAGGATGTGCAAGGATCTGAAGCATCTCATCTATTACCGATTCAACACTGTAAGTATCAGTCAGTCTCCACTGTAATTAGGACCTATAGGTWTGTTAGCTATTTATTAGTCACCACATTGCATAGTGACCTTCAGAAATTTTCCATTGATATTTCATTGAGCAACATAGCAGTCTGGATTTTTGGGTGCTGTCAATCAAAAACTACCTACTCAGACTGTTGGTAATTTGATTGACAGGAACCGAAAAGACCAGACGTCAGGAAATATAGTTAGTTGTCTGAATTGCTTAATTATGAAAATATGTATAATTGATTGTTTTTAATGATCTAGGGAGCTGTTGGCAAGGGTCCAGGGTGTGGATTTTGGGCCCCAGGCTGGCGTGTGTGGCTGTTCTTCCTCCGTGGTATTGTACCACTCCTGGAAAGATGGCTTGGCAACCTGTTGGCCAGGCAGTTTGAAGGCAGACACTCCAAGGGAGTGGCCAAGACAGTCACTAAGCAGCGTGTGGAGAGTCATTTTGATTTGGAGTTGCGTGCAGCTGTAATGCACGATATTCTGGACATGATGCCTGAAGGGATCAAGCAGAACAAGGCTAGAACTATCTTACAGCATCTCAGCGAGGCCTGGAGATKCTGGAAGGCCAATATTCCATGGAAGGTAAATTTAGTTTTTATCAATACCCTGAGACAATCTATCTACTGATCAAAGTCAAAGCATGGCTAACTCATAGATCAAACCCTGAAACAACCTCTGGGCTGATCTAACTCAGGGCATGGCTAACTCATAGATCAAACCCTGAAACAACCTCTGGGCTGATCTAAGTCAGGGCATGGCTAACTCA